GAGGGGGCGCGTTTGTGGCATCGGAGGGACGCAGTGCCCAGCCCGCTGAGGTAGAGGCTGTGTCGGTGCGGGGCCCACGGCCTTTGTTAGACGCCTACTGTGTGCAGGGCGCTCCGGCCTCTGAGAGGAGAAGGCGAGCGCTAGGAGGCGCTGAGGCGCTAAAGCGAGGCCGCTGCCCTTGAATTTAGCATCTCGGGCGAGGGAAGAGAATAGTCACACTGAGTGTTCCAGCAAATCCCTAAGAAAGCTGTTAGCTCCCTGCCTCTTCCGCCCCAGACTCACCTGGTGGATCAGATCGGGTTACCTGCCTGCTCGGGCTCTTTTTCCAACTGTAGCGCAAGGAGAGAGAGGTGATACTAATACCATAGTATTGTTAATAAACCTTGGAGAGCACTGTGTGAAAAGCTCTTCATAAAGTACTGAACTTTATTATCTCTATCTCACAATGAAAAGATAGAAAATAAAAATGAATGTGACTTACCCTTTGTCCCTGTAGTTGCACTGCTAGGAATTTATTCTGTCCATAATTATTCAGAAGATGTTCTTTGCAAAGTTCGGTTAATAGCAAAAAGGAAATGGGGAACAGTCTGACGGTGAATTATAGTGACTTATTTTACACCAACTGCATAGATTTTATGTTTTATTTTTTGAGACAGGACCTTCCTGTGCAGTTTAGGATGGCCTGCAACTCACAATGTAGCCCAGGCTGGCCTCAGCCTCTCGGAGATCCTCTCGCCTCAGCCTCCTAAGATTACTGGCGTGTGCTCCCCACACTCGGTTAAACAGCATGGATTTTTTATGCAGTCATTTAAATGGCAATTATGACTATCATTTAATATGGAAGTGTATATATAACGCAGAATTTAAAAGTAGAATAAGAGCTGTGTGTATGTACACAGATGCCTTTGGCATGGTGAAAACTAAGCGTAACAGGGATTTGCGTGTACTTGTGCACGCTTTGTTAATTTTGCTTACGGCCATTGTGACAATGCAATTAAAATGTTTAATGAAATCTGTGTTTTGATCCGAGTCACTGTAAGTCATGGCTTTTAGTTCATCAGTAAAGTCACATCATCCTCTAGATGAAGTTACCTCCAAGAACATTTCAGCAGTCTGGATACAGTCCTACAATTAAAGTGATTCCCAAAGTGTATAAATCCTAGTGCTCGCTTCAGCAGCACATATACAATGTATATAAATCTTAGAAGTCAGACTAAAAATACAAGGAAGAGAGCTAAAAGTTCACTCAACACACACTGAGTGCCTGCTACATGCAAAGCAGTGAACAAGGTGCTTTAGAAATGCTTCCGTTACAGAAGAGCTGAAGGTACACAAAACAATTTAAACAATAGCTGCTAAGAGGCCGGATAATGACAATAAACTTAGCAAACTGATGTACACAACCCCACCTGCCTTACTCTTATAGCAAACACTTTGTTCCCAGCCACCCACTGACATAATTGTAGCTTCTGTTAGGTAATACAAGTTCGGGTTTCAGGAGGTGAGGAGGAACCTGAGGGAGGAACACTGCCTGTTGTGCAGTTGAAAGCCGTACACTGAAAGATGGAGTGACAACCCAGGAAAATGGATAGAGGCATAATTACAGGGGAGGACTCCGTTTAGGCTTGTCTGTGTGTAAGTGCAAATTTTATTGTTTGAAACAAAGACTCAGATAAGAATAATGCTGTATTTTAAACACATTCACAGCACTGGTAATAATTTTTTAAAGCTGGGTACGTGGATGTTCATTTTATGATTATGGTTTCTCTTACCGTGCTAAGTATTATTTGATATGTACCTTTATTTAGCATCATAGTTTTATTTTTGTTACATATTTAAATATTTCATCAGTCCAAATAAAAATAAAATTACAAAACTGAAAGTTTGTGGTGTTTTGTTGTTTTGTGGGGAGGTTGTTTTTTTTGAGACAGTGCCTCACTATGTAGTCAGGCTGGCCTTAAACTCATGTGTAGCCCAGGCTGGGCTCCAATTTCCAGCCATCTTCATGCCTCAGCCTCCTGAGTGCTGAAATTATTTATAGGCATTCACTACTATGCCAAGCTTAAGAATTTTATATAACATCAATTATAAGCATTCAAGTGTAAAACTCTTCTAAAAGAAAATAACACTGAAGATGAAAATATTGCCATTCTCTACACAGCAAAATCTTACTGTGAAACTTGTTGATTCATCCAACCTTTTTTTTTAGCTCATTTCATGGGCCATGTACTGTACTATATTTTGAAGATACTGAGATTGAATATATTAATAATTAAAAATCAACATAGTGGAAGAGAATTTGGGGAGAGGGAAAAACAAAAGGAAAAGCAATAGAAGGACTTACTTAGATTGACTTTAGACTTTTTTTGGTGGGGAGGGTTGAGACAGGGTCTCACTATGTAGTTCATACTGCCCTGGAACTCACTGTGTAGCCCAGGTTGGTCTCAAACTCACAGAGATCCTCCTGTCTCAGCCTCCCAAGTGCTGGGATTACAGGCATGCACCACCATGCCAGGCAAAAAAAATTTTTTTTTGGTACTAGGGATCAAACTAGGGTCCTTACCCTTGTAAGGCAGGCAGCAGAACCACTGAGCTAAGTCCCTGGCCCAGATTGACTTTAATCATTGGTGTTTTTTAACCAGTGGCTCCCAAGATCATCTTGCATTGACAATACAGTTTCTAACCACTTCCCAGTTCTTTTGAATCAGAATTTTCTGCAGTCAGGCAAAGGAGTGTTTACACAAGCCCCAGAGGGCACTCTGACCCACACCATGTTGGGAATCACTATCCCAGTGGCTCTGGAACTTCCGCCTGCATCAAAGTCACCTGGAGAAGTTGTTCAACGCAGCTAGCCACGTACCATCCCAGAGGGTCTGATCTGGTCAGTGTAAGGCAGAGCTCTGGTATTTGTCTCTAGCAAGTTCCCAGGATACCACACTTTGAGTCAGCTGTACTCTTCGAAATTATACCGTTAAGGAAAGCTGGATTTTCATTAAAGTTCAGCGTTAGATTTACACCATCGCTTTATCATGGCATCGCTTCAAGACATATTTTTGAGAAAAAAAAAAAGAGGAATGACAATTCTGAGGGACTCCATCCTACGTTTTCTTCTTAAACTAGAAGTCCACTCACAATGTAAGTTTTGCCTGTGTGTACCTTCCATGGTTATGGGAACTGCAGAAAATCTTTTCAAAACATTTGATCCCTTTATAACTTCTAATTTGTTCTCAATAGAATTGTACACCTTTTATTGAATCATTTTCTTAAACTTGTCTCGCCACCTTATTTTGTACCAATAAAATCAATCTTTTTCCATGAATGTCATTTGATAGAACCTTCCAGTATAACAGCAAAACATTAAATGGCAGTTTTGAGCAAAAGCTTCATGTTTTTTTCATTAATAAACTTTAGTTAACATGGTACTCTTTATGGCGGTATCCAAGACCATAAGAGGAAATCTATGCATGGTTTTAAGAACATTTAAAACCTTTTATTTAAAACATATTTCTGTTTTCCAGGCTAAGGTTAAATTTGATATGACTGCAAGAAAATACCTACCATCTGTAGTTAGTACTTCTTCTGCTCCAGCCATTAATATATTTTTTAACATAGAAGAGTTGTCTCCAGTAATCAAAAAAGTAAGCGTAGGTTAATTATGGTACTCGTGCAAAGCTATTTTATAGTGTAAATTTCTAATTTAATACACTGTGTGTGCCATGGAAAAATCTGGCACTCAGCAATTTATACCACTGCTTAAGACCCTATGTCTCGTCATCTTGTAAAATGTCATCATTTAAATAACATTAGGTCTGGCTTCCTCCAAATGAGCTCATTACTGATAAAGCAGCCAGCCATGTAGTTACTGCTGTCAGTCTCACTCTTCCTCCCCCGTGTCCACTTTTCTCTTCTTTTCCTGTCCCAGTTCCTGAAAGCTGGATTCATAAGCCCACCAGGACAGCCCTGTTCTGACAGGGTTTCGGGTTAGGTCATTCTGAGCTGTTTGCTGTGCCACTTTTATGACACCACACCCTCCTCACTCCCACCCACCCTCCCCAGCACACCTGGTTTCCAGTGATCAAAGCTGAGATCACCTCTCTTTCCTCTGTCTGTCCACATCTGGGCTGCCCGATGCCATTCGCCTCTGGCCCTTCATGAGGAAATCTGCCCTGGCCCACGTTCTGACAGTGTCATGGGCTCTGTCCCTAGACTTTCTGATTCCTTTGATTGGGATGGGGCCCGGGAATGTGTATTTCTAATGATGCTGGTATATAGCCCACTTTGATAATCACTACCTTACACCAGGGACCAGTAGGGGAGCCATGTTTGTACCAGGCCAGCCAAAGGCAGGTAGCTAAGCAAGAAGCCAATGAGACTTCCTGCACTTGGAGCACACGATGCGGGCACAGGTGCTGAGCTAGCCATGGGGAGCCAGGTCAAGAGGTTATGGAGTTAGCAGCTAAGGAAGCCATTTTAAAACTATAATAAGGACTTTCAAGCACATAAATAGAAGGAATCAGTCTGACAGAGCAGATGAGAAACACTGAAACGACAGGCTTCTTCACCCTTGGGGACACAGGGTGAACGAGGCTCCCTGCCAATGCTCCTGGACCCTCTCACTCCTGATAGGTCAGCTCTGAGGAAGCCCACTGCTAAGGAACCTCCCGCCCTCCTGTGAGGTAAGCTCAGGTGAGTCCCTGCTCTTTACATTTACCTCATCTGAGTTGGAAGCACTTTCTTCCTCAGGCCGCCCTGGCTCTTTGATTGACTGATTCCCTGGAACTGGATCCTGCTGTCCACAGGCAGCACCTTCTAGACTCTAGCAATCTGACACTCGTGGCTGTTGTGCACTTGAAATACAGCTAGTGGTGTACTGCTCCGAATTGGAGCCTGGCATAGTGGCACAGATCTATAATCCCAGCTACTCAGGAAGCTGAGGCAGGAGGAACTCAAGTTCTAAGCCAATCTGAGCAATTTAGGATCCTGTCTCAAATTTAGAAAAATTAAGAGCTGAGGTTATAGTTTCACATTCTCTGCATTCAATACCCAGTGGTACCAGGGAGGAAAAAAAAAGAAAAGAAATTTTGAAGACAGCGCAGAAAACAAAGCAAAAGATATGTTGAAGTCTTAACCTTTGGGTACCTAGAAATGTGACCTTATTTGGAAATAGGGACTTTTTTGGGGAATACCAGGGATCGAACTGGGGGGGGGGGCGCTTGCACTTGCGAGGAAGACAGCAGCTCCACTGAGCTAAATCCCCAGCCCAGAAATAGGGACTTTTTAAGATGTGATCAAGATGAGGCCACTCAATGGATCTTAACTTTAATTTTAATTTTAATTCTCCCAAAATTCTCCGGGCATGACTTGAACTTGAAATCCTCCTGCCTCAGCCTCCTAATGCTAACTTACAGGCACACACCATAACACCTAGCTGAGTGCTATACTTTTAAGAAGAGGGAAATGCTTTACAGCTTTACAGGACATGGTGACGCATGCCTGTAACCCTAGCACTTGGGAGGCTGAGGCGGGAGGATTGCTGTGAGTTTGAGGCCAACCTAGGCTACTAAGTAAGCTCAAGGCCAGCTTGAACTACATAGTGCAACCCTGTCTCAAAAAACAAATGCCATATAAAGACAGAAACAAACATACATGAAGAATGTCATATCATGACAGGGACTGATGTAGCTGGAAGCCAACAAATACCAAAGATTTCTGGCCAACACAAAAGTCTACCCAGCATTTCAGAGGTGGCATCTCACTTTCAGAACTGTGGGAAAATAAATTCCTGTGATTTTAAGCCACCCATTTTGGAATAATTCGTCTTGGGAGCTCTGGGAAATGAACCCAGGATCTAAGTCCCCTCTGTGCCTTATCATATACAAAACAGGTGACGAGATACATGACACACAGCTGATCCTCATTTTTTGTTGCATTTACAATACGCTGCCTTTTTTACAAGTAGAAAATCATGTAACTCCAGGCCA